AGAAAGATCTGACACTGCTTTATCCCAACATTGGCAGCTCAGGCCAGCCTGCTGATCTCCAGCCTCAGGGCCCCCACCATGCATAGGTGGCAGGGGCCTGCCTGGCACCCTCTTCCTCAGCCATCCTGCTCTTTGCTCCTCAGCTGCCCCCGATGGCTCCACCCATCACAAGGACAACCACACATCTGGGAGACCATCTGACCAGTGTGTTTCCCCACTAGACCGGAAACTCTAGGAGGCATGGAACTGTGTGTTCGGTTCTCCGCAGCATCCCCAGGTCAGCCATCCTGCTCTTTGCTCCTCAGCTGCCCCCTGATGGCTCCACCCATCACAAGGACAACTACACATCTGGGAGACCATCTGACCAGTGTCTGTTTCCCCACTAGACCGGAAACTCTAGGAGGCATGGAACTGTGTGTTTGGTTCTCCGCAGCATCCCCAGGGCCTGGCACAGCACCTGGCGGGGTGCCTGACACGTAGTGGGCTCTCAGGAAGGATGGGCCTAGGTTTGTGGAGTAGCTGAAGGCTGTGGGCTGCCTGGCAGCTGCAGACCCTAACTTCCAGAATGGAGCGGGCAGGCGGCTGCTCACCGAGTCTCAGACACATTGCGCGTGGACAGGGCGATCTCGCCGGCGCTGGAATCGCCCAGGGTGCGGTTGTCCTTGAGCCACATGACAGTGGGCGGCGGGTAGGCCTCGAACACCACCTGCAGGGTCCGGCTCCGGTGCAATTCCGCGAACTGTACAGCGTCCAGCTCCCTCAGCAGGCGCACATAGCCACTCTCTGCAAGGGGCGGCTGTCAGGGCGGGGCTGTGCCCGGCCACCAATGGGACAGTGCCTCTGGGGGCGGGGCTTCTGGAGGCAGGGCCTCAGCTTTAGGAACTACCTGAGCTGGGATTGAAGTTGGGGCTGGGGCTGGAATTGAGCCAGATCTGGGGCTGACACTGGTTTGGAGACCAGGTCTCAGATGGAGGCTGGCGTTGTAGTTCTCACCCAGGCTGGGGGCTGAGATGAGTTGTAGCCTGGTTGGATTTAGGGATGGGGCTGCCTGGGCCTGGGATGGAGTCTGGGATTAGACACTGGGGTGGGGCCAGGCTTCTGGCGAGGAGGAGAGTCTAGATGGGATTAGGGTTGGATTTGGGGTTGGCACTGCGTCTTGGTTTGGGTTTCTCCTGGAAATGGAGCTTTGGTTTGAAATGTGGCTAGAGCTGGGCTGAAGGTATCCCGGGGCTGTGACAGGGTGTGGATCCAGCTCAGAACGAGGGCCGGGGCTGAGCCCGAGGAACGCACCAACCACGGTGACATTGATGGCTTTTTCATCCTGATGGTCGTACACACTCTCAGATACATTGCAGATGTAGGTCCCCGAGTCGCCCAGCTCGGCACTGGGGATGTGCAGGGTGGAGCGGATGTGGGGAATGTCGAAGTCGGTCACTGGCTCCACTAGCCGCCCACTCTGTAGGGACAGGGAGGACAAGTCCCCCAAGTCAGGAAGCGTCCAAGAAGGCAGGCTGCCAGTCAAGGTAGCCATCCCTGCCTGGCCCTTCCTTCAACCCCTGGCCCAGCATTACCTCCTCGCGGGGGTACGTCCACTCGAAGTTGACCACCTCGTTCCCAGTCACAATGCACGTGATGGTGATGTTCTCACCCTGGCGGACCACAGTCTGCGCTGCATTCATTGAGACGTTGATGGATGACGCTGGTGGAGAGAGATGGGCTTAGGTCTGAGGAAGTCACCCCCAGCCGGCTCCCGGCACTTCAACTTGGGGATGGGGTCGGGGTCCAGAGAGGGAAGGGATGATGGATGTGGAAGATTCATTTATTCAACAAACATTTATTAAATATCTGCTCTATGCCAAGTACTATTGCAGGCACTGGGGCTTTAGCAGTAAACACAACAGACAACATTCCTGTCCTTGCGGAGCTGACATCCCAGAAGGAATAAGTCTGGAAATCAAAGTCTCCCCAGGCAATTTACTGCGTACCAGGTCCCCTCCATCTTCTGTTTTATTCCATCTTTCCAATCACCCCATTTTACAGCAGGAGAAGCAGGCTCGGAGAGATGGTGTGCTCTGGGCACAGTCACCGAGGCAGGAAGTGGCAGAGCTGGGATTCAAACCCCACAGGCTCCTAAGCCTGTGCCTTTGCCCACAACTATATACCACCCAGCTCTGCCACTAACACATCCCAGGGACCTTGGGCAAATTCCATCCTCTTTCTGAGCCTCCGTTTCCTCATCTGTAAAACGGAGAAACGTGACCTGCCTTCAAGGGCTGTAATGATAATCCAGTGGAAAACGGAGCCACGCACGTTGGGAAGGGCTATACCTCTGTGAACGGTCCTATTTGCCTCTGCTGGGCATCAGGCCAGAAAGGGGGCTCACCCTGGAGGCTGTAGACATAGTAGGGCTCGGAATCCACCTCCTTGTCCCCAATGGTGGTTTTGCAGACATAGGTCTTGTCCTCAAAGGTCCCGGAGAAGCCACGCTGGTGGTCGTAGGGGATGGGCAGCGGGTCATCCACCTTCTTCTCATGCAGTGTCACCACCAGCTGTGGGTCCGTCACTCGGCATGGGATGGTGGTCTCGGTTACTTCCGTGAGAAAGATGAAAAACTCCTCGGGGAAGATCGGGAGGAAGCCCATGGTGGGATCTGCCAGGGGTGGGGGTGGGGTTAAAAATGAGGGTCAGGGGGAGCTGGGTTTCTGGCTAGCCCCAGAATTGCTGTGTGACCTTGAGCAGGCCTATTTCCCTTTCTGGCCCTCAGTTTTCCCATTACAGAATAAGGATGCTCTCGGAAGTCCCTTCGAGCTTTAACATTTGATGTGGACAGTACCAGGGTGGGGAAGCCCCCAGTTGAAGGGCAGCTGGTACCTGGTGCCTGGAGAATGGGGACGATGGGACGTAGAAGCCCAGAGGGAGGGTATTGGAACCAGCTGAGAATGCAGAGTCCTTGGGAGCCGGGAATGGGGTGGGCTGCCAGGGAGCAGATGGATATTCAGACCAAGGGGTGGGAATGAACATACTCCTGGCTGAGCCAGGCTGGATTCCACGATTTGTCTGCATTTCTAAGTCAGCTGCATGTCCCCACGTCACTGAAGCACTCCCTGAGCTTCCCCAGAGGCCTGCAGTGAGGAGTAAGGGCGGGAGCACAGGCCGGGGGCCTTACCTGGCACAAAGATGTAGAGCCGTTTTTGCTCACCAGCCTCCAGCTCATGGGAGTTATTATAGGCACAAAAGTATTCTCCCGTGTCTGTCCCAGTGACATTGGCCAGCGTCAGGATGCTGGAGAAATTGCCATCCTGGGTCCTGACCATTTCTTGCGGAGGCTGCTTGGACATCCGTTTCCACACCACCGGGTCTGGGCCCGAGCAGGTCAGAACCAAGGTGCTGGAGACATTGAGGACAAGCTCTGGCCCCGGAGGGGTGATGACCAGACCTCGGGAAGCCTGCGGTCCCAGCAACAACAGCAGGGGCAGCAGCAGCGCCTGGCCTTTGGGAGAGGAGGCGTCCGGTAAGATGTCAGAGGCCAGGAGCCTCCGCACCTCTCCCCAGAGCTGACACATATGCACAGCCCTTGAACACCACACCTCCAGAATCCAAATATCGCCGGGAACCCATGGCGGGGAGGCCTGCTTGCTCAGTGCCGGGCCCAGGGCCTCTTGGCCTCCTGACCTCAGTGCCTGTCCACCCCCAGCCTCGGAGTCCCTCAGCAGGCAGCCTCAGGCTGTGGGCACGTTCTCACAAAGGCGGCAGGAAATCCTTGGGAAGTCGTTCCCAGCCTCCAATTCCTGCATTATTTCCCAGGTCACTTTCGGAGCCTCTTCCCTACAGCTGCCTCAGCTGCCCAGGTTCTGCCCAAAGCCCAGAGGTGGCCCTGCTTGGGGAGAGTGGGGCAAGGTAGCTCAGAGTGGGGCAGACTGAGGCAGGAGAGATGCTGAGACCCCTGGGAACTCAGGCGGATGGGAGTTGGGGGCTGCCAAGTAACTGGTTCCACTTCCCATGCTGACATCCCCTGGGGAAGGATTCTGTCAGCCACCCTACACCCCCCAGCCAGTCAGCCATCCTCAGTAAGCTGTCACCTAGTCATCGATGGCCAATGACCATTGATTGCCTGGTCAGCTGCCCAGCCCCTGGAGAGCTGAGGACATGTACCGGGCAGGAGTGAGGGAAGGGTGTGCTGAGAGAAGCCCAGCCAGGACTTGGGAGTGCACAGCCAATGAGGGGTCCAGGCAGGGTGGGGAGACCCAGACCGGAAGCAGGCCTGCCAGACCGATGCCAGACCAATACCAGCAAGTGCTGAGAAGAGATGGGAGGCTGGGTGACTCTTAGTGAGTTGGGTGGGAAAGCTGGTGAAGGGGCATGGGGGTGGAAGGCCAAGCAAGGATTTGAGCCAAAGGCTCTGGGCAAGCGGGGCACCCACTGGGGTTAGTGAGCTGAGGGGTGGGCAGTGGAAAGGCAGGACGTTGAGGCTGAGAGCACAGCAGTGCCCCTGGGTTCCCAGGCTCTGATGCTCCACCCTGCCAGCTCCAGGGTCCTGCTTAGTGACTCCCCCGGGCCCCTCCCAGTCCCCCGTCTACCTACCTTTGAGGATAGGAGCTGGCATGGCACTCAGAAGCAGCATGGTGTCCTGCAGAGTTAAACAGGGACCAGTCAGAGCCCAGGGCGGGCAGAGGCATCTTCGCACCTGGGCCCTGCAGAGTGAGCTCCAGCCTGGGCCACCGAGCCTTCGTGTCCATGGTGCCGAAGTCAAAGGCTACCCGTGTCCCATGGCGAGGGGTCTCCCCTGCCCATAGGTCCCCTCCCGCTGCATGAGGCGCAGCCTCAAGGAGCCTGGACCCTTCTTTGGCTCCATGGTGACCCTGGCTGAGCCCCCACCTCTCTTTGGGCCTTAGTTTCTCTATATA